TTAAAAAGTCTTGAATTTAACTTGCCTTATGCTGTAGGAACCCTGTTATCAATATTAGTGAATTAATATATCATGGCTGCATTCATGTCTTAAACCTGTGGATTATAGTAAATCCAAAGTTATATATTAAATGAATGGCATTAATGTCCCCATTTTCTATTTTGTATGCAATGACCTTATGTGTGTTTTCTCTGTGGAATCTGCTGTTTTGTTCCCTCATCTTATTAGAATACTTTTTATGTTCAATGTTTGGATGCAAAGCGTCACAAATAACCCCTGACCAGATGTGAGTCGGACTCATTGCACCTATTAAGCAGTGTTAATATTCATGTCCCTTCACCTCCACAGGGAGCTGACAAAAACCAGAAAGCACCCGACGGCACAAGTCCCCGTGATGCTTCTCAATCTGAGGTGATTAAGAACCTGTTCTAGTGAGACCCCAGCGTACGGGAGGTGGCTGGACAGGTGGATGAACAGGCTTACAGATGGATGCAGTGGTCCCCTGACAGAAGATGGACTCGCCCCATTTATTCCAATCAACCTCTGTCTTAACACTGCTTTGGTCTGTTTGCTGAAGGTTCATTTTTGTCTGTCTGGTGATTTTCCTTAACCTTGTATTTTTTTTTTCTCTCTCTCTTCCCCCAAATGTTTGGGATAGTATTTTCTCTTCTTTTGGCCTCTGTTAGCAGGAAAACATCTAATAATCTCCCTCAGGTAGCAAATCCTGCGGGAGTTTTGTTAAACCTGGATCATATAACACTGTTCAGACTAGTAATTAAATTTTTTAAGGTTAGCACTTACAAATGCATCTGAAATTCTGCTGTCTCCTGTAACCAGTAAGATCAATAGTGTGTTCATTTTTCCACAGTTGTAGTACTTGTGGCCAGTGTTTGAACTCATGAACAGTAACTGCACTGTGATAAATAGGTTGGATTAAAATGCAAGGTTGTAATGTTTCATTAAGTACAAAAAGAAACGCAACGTGTCGCCTCGTTCTTTTCGATTGACCAAACTGTATCATTTTGAACCTTTTTAAAAATCGGTTATGGATATGAGCTCAGCGTTTTTTCTTCTTTAGGTCTATTTCTCTCATATCAAATGGCATTTAATGAGTTTTTCATAATGGAGTGAGATTTTTTTTTTTTTTTGACCAATCACCATGCTGGGTTACTAGAAAGACTTGAATGTTGCAGTTTTGAAACCTGTTACTAAATCATTTAGAAAAATGGCTAACGGCACATAGAAAATTACATTTTAGAGATGTTCGTTTCTTCTCCACGATGAGTGAGATGTCAAATAAAAAGAAAAAAAAACTTTTTCATTGCAACAGCTTTCTTCGATCCGGAACTAATGGGCTCCAGGTGCTGAGAATGATGGTTAGATAAGGGTTACAGTTGAAACCTGAGCAAGGGGCTGTTAATATTTCTCCTTGCCTTGGATTTACTAAGACGCCCTGCCTTTTTTTGCTGCATGTCAAAACTGCCTCTGCTTTTATGCTATGAAATGGTTACTGTCCTCTTGGTTGCTTTCGAATTGATTGCTAAATATGTACTGAACTAAGATGATCACGCTTACTTTGTTGTGACAAAAGTCTGGAGAAACCAATAAAAAAAATTACATTAACTGTTTTGTTTTTTTTTATCTTTTATTTCAAATTTTAATCCAAGCAGGAAACTGATTAGTATGGAGGACCAACTCTGCCATATTTAAAAATAAATACAGAAATTAGAGTTGTCACGATACTAAACTTTTCGACTCGGTACCGATACTAAGGAAAATATTTGATACTCGATACCATTTTTGATACCACAAGGACAACATTTCAACAGAAATATTTTGATTAATAATTAAAATACAATAAATAAATACAATAAACAATAAGAACAACATTTTGAGGTTGTTTTCTATAAACAGTATTTAGCAAGCTTGGTAAAAAACGTACAAAATTAAAATTAAGTTTTCCTTACTTGGCTATGCTTTGCACACATAACAATGACACTAGCCAAACCGGTTAAGAAACAAAAATAATTCTCAGCAGCTGCAACTGTTACAAAAAAAGTCTGAAACTGAAAAGTGCACAGAATTATTTGATCACACAGT